TGAAGTGTAGTCAAGATGGCGTATCTCGCGTGGTGAATATCGATCAGGCTTGGTGTTAAAGGCGTACGTGAGTGGCTTATGGTTGGTTTGAATGGTAAACGATCTACCTTCTAACAAGTGCCGGAAATGGCGAATAGCAAAGTGAATAGCGAGGAATTCACGACCAAAAGTAGTGTAATGCGTTTGGGCAGCCTGCATCTTCTGCGAGAAAAACGCTAGTGGTTGAGATGCGTAGTTAACAACTTGATGATTTACGGCGCCGACGGCAGCGTTCGAAGCATGAGTTGTCAAAATCAGCTTTGTGCTTTCGTGAGTGTCGAGGAAAGATAAGTTTGTGGCCTCAGCAATGGCTTGCTTGGCTCTTTCGAAAGCGAGAACGGCGGCGGGGGGACAAGGTAATGGATTTTTCTTTGGAGCCAAGTAAATCGGCCAGTGGCTGCAAAATATCTGCACAGTGAGGGATGATTCGCCGGTAGTAGTTGATGATACCTATGAAACGACAAAGTGGGTGAGATTGGTGGTTATGGGAAAAGACTCTAGGGCCTAAACGCGATCGGGCAATGGTGAAATACCTGTGGAGTTAATGTGGTGGCCAAGAAAATCTATGCTGGTAACACCGAATGAGCATTTGTCAATGTTTAAGCGTATGTTGTAAGAAGATAGACGTTCAAATACTGTCCTGATATGAGCTACATGTTCAGTTGGGGAGATACCAGCGAATAAAACATCGTCAAGGTAAGCATACACAAACGGTAAACCAGGTTAAACTTCGTCCATGAAACTTTGAAACGTTTGAGCGGCATTTCGAAGACCAAAGGGCATACGCATGAATTCGAAAAGGCCAAACGGTTTTGCGATGGCTGTTTTAGGAATGCCATCCGGGGCTACGAGTATGTGGTAGTATGCACGAATGAGATCGAGTTTTGAGATGTCTGTGTTGCATAAGGTACTGGCAAAATCCTGGATATGTGGGATGGTAAGATAGACGTTCAAATACTGTCCTGATATGAGCTACATGTTCAGTTGGGGAGATACCAGCGAATAAAACATCGTCAAGGTAAGCATACACAAACGGTAAACCAGGTTAAACTTCGTCCATGAAACTTTGAAACGTTTGAGCGGCATTTCGAAGACCAAAGGGCATACGCATGAATTCGAAAAGGCCAAACGGTTTTGCGATGGCTGTTTTAGGAATGCCATCCGGGGCTACGAGTATGTGGTAGTATGCACGAATGAGATCGAGTTTTGAGATGTCTGTGTTGCATAAGGTACTGGCAAAATCCTGGATATGTGGGATGGGATACCTGTCTGGGATTGTAGCGCTGTTGGGAGAGCGATAATCTCCACAAGGTCTCCAATCACCTTCAGACTTCTTGGGTACCATATGTAGGGGTGATGACCAATGACTCGATGAAGGGCGGATGATGCCGAGTTCGAGCATGTGTTTGAACTCGTGTTTTGCGATTTGTAGGTTATCCGGATGAAGTCGGCGTAGGTAGGTATGGGCAGGTGGACCTCTCGTCTGAATGTGGTGAACGACGGAATGAGTGGCCGTTTGGGTGTACTGATATGGATGAGTAAAATTTGGAAAATCCCCAAGTATATCAGCAAAATTTGAATCCGGTGAGATTACTCGCATACCAGTGGATGAATTTGGAGTACTAATTCCGTCGACTGGGAGAGGCGTTAGCATGTCGTGTCGCACATCGACAGATGGGTTGTGGTGGGTCAGGAAATCTGCACCGATGATGGGTGTTTGGACGTCGGCCAAAAGGAAGATCCACTTGAACGCATGTCGCAATCCGAGGTCAAGGGTGAGGGAACGTTCTCCGAATGTAGCGATGCGTGTACCGTTAACGGATTGTAAGGAGACAGAAGCAGAATCGGGAAGTCGATTCTTATGCGGTGGCACACTAACTTCAGCTCCCGTGTCTACGAGGAAACTTAGACCACTTGAACGATCGGTGACATGGAATAGGCGACTAGTGCGAGGAAGGCCACAGACAGTCGTCGCCGTTACTGACTGGCCGGGGTGTTTAAAAGGGTGTTGGAACGCGGCTTGAAGGAACAAGTGGTTGGCAGTTGCGTGCTTGATGACCGAAAGTTTGGTGATACCAGCATCAAGAAGGGCGGGCACGAGACAACGATCGGGATCGTGAACGTGATCGATGGTTGTTGATCTCTAACTGTTGTAGGCGATCGGCCAAAGTATCAAACTTGGTTTGTAGTTGCGATATGGAAGCAGGAAACGGGTCGGAATCTGTGGAAGTAGTGGGTGTTGGGCGGGCGACGGAGTTTACGGGGTTACTGAGGTAAGTTTCGTGGATCTTATCCGCCATTTGGGCTAACTGCTCCAAGCTGCGGTCATCGAGGAAAGCGCGGATGATGCGGGACGTCGGGGGTGGAAGTTTGTCGAGGCATATTTGGGTCATGATTTCCACCACCAGGTTACGGCCGCGGAGGAGACTGCGCATGTTGCGAAGCAGTTGCGATGGCGATCTGTCCTCGAGTTCGACAGTGGTGAATAAGTTTCGCAGCAATTTGGTTTCAAGTAGAACATAGGGTTGACGAAACCCTGGGGAATGCGCCTACCTGATGAGCCCTAAGAAGGGCGAAACCGGTCGTGGGCTGTCGACGGATTTTCAGGAACCTTATGAGTAGTGCATTACTAAGACATACCCGTAGCATTTTGTTTTTGGACCTCTCCGTCCTACTCATGACGGCGCTCGAAGGGCGTCGTAGGGATTTTCCTTGGGAATACCTTCCAAAAGATCTTTTAGTTCTGTTGCTACATCACAAGGAAGATGCTGGACGAAATAAGAAAATCGGGTGGATTGGGAAGTGATGCGTCGCGTAGTAAAAGCGGCCTCCACATGGTGAAACCATACCATGGGATTGCGGGGATTATGGTCTGGTGAACGGATGTTAATTGCATTCTCGACTAAATCCGCTGAATCAAAGTGTGCACCTACAATGACCGGGCTAAAGAAATAAAAAATTACGACGACTTGAAATGAAAAGTTTTCAAAAAATATCTAAAAAGTCTAGGGCTCGCCAAATTTGCAGTGATCCGAGTACCCAACAGGTTACTTAGCCAGGAGTGTGTGGCAAAAAAATAAAAATAATAACGCTAGAATATGTACACAATAATAAAGAGATCAGATGGAACAGAGTCACTAATAATTGTTCTGTTTTAGATAGTTCGCCCAGGTCAGCAAATAAACAATAATCCAATTATGGTGGTCCAGGGGTCTTTTTTTGAGCAGTTCCCACACCTAATAGATTCCGAAGGTGGTCTGAAATATTTTGATACCAGAGTTAGCGCACGAGACTCGCGAATGACCGCTGCAAGCGCGAGCGAATTCAGAAGAGAGAGCCGAAGCACGTGACCACATTTGTAATCCGTGAGTTTGTACAAGTGGGCGCTTTTTGTAGTTTTTCGTATTCAGACAAAAAACGATTAAGTAATTGAGGAAGTACGCAATGCTATAATGGAATCAAAATAAAGGTACAAAACGCCACATCTGCTCTGTCCGCTTCCGTCGACAAACGTAGCAAACCGGCTAAATGTTCTCACCGTGTGAAGCTATACATGACTTTCCGCATATGCTTTTAGTTGGATCACGGCAGATATGCTAAATGACAACTAATTATCCCTTCGAATTTGGTCTCTTCGACTGACAACCAGTTTATCATGCGATCAACCGATAAGGCCCCGAACCGTGAAACTGACCGAGAAACGGCCTTGAAGATATACCTATTCCATGGCGCTTCGGAGCTCGGCGCGCATAGTTTTTCCCTGGGGTTATCCAAAGCGTTGCTGTTCTCGATATGATACCTGTCGAGGGTACTCTTGCGCTCCGAGGATTTATTCACACTATGGACACCTCAAAACGGTGTGCTTTTCCAATCCACGAACGTTCACATCGTCCTGCTTCGTACGCGCACTTAGTGGAGTTTACAGGGGAGAACCCACTCATCAAAATAGAATTTTGTTTACCCCTATAGCAAGATTATCTGGTTAGTTTCTTACAGTTTGATAGTTAATTTTTGTAGACTATCCACCTCATAACTTGGTCAAATTGCCTAGTCTATCACCTACTATGGAGACCGGCACTGTTGTCAGCTGGGCGAAGAATGAGGGTGATGAGGTACCAAGTTGCAGCACAGATTATTTTGCTTCAGGTAAATGAGGGTGATCTGTTGGCTGAAATAGAAACCGATAAAGCCACCATGTCTTTCGACGCAAACGACTCTGGTATTCTGGCTAAAATACTTGTTCCATCAGGGACCAGGGACATACCTGTGGGAACGGTAGGCTCTATTGTGATGATTCTGTTACCGTTTCAGCCTCTCTGCATAATCGTCCCTGATCCAGATTCAGTTGCGGCTTTTAAAGAATATGTAGCTTCTGCAGCTCCATCAGTGAGTGTTTCATATCTTTATCTAAAACCCACTGACCAACATCGAGGTTGTCGGCAGTTTTGATCGCCGGTGTTTCACTACCTTACTGCTCGACTGGGGAACCATGGGGCATTGGGTTTGGGGTCTTGTCTGTCCATTCGATGTCCGGATACAGTGACAGGACTCCTGAAATATTTGTTACAGATTCAGCGAGTCGTATACTGCAATCACTGTGTGAGTATGAAACGTGTTCGAAACGTGCCTCAGTCTCAGTTACGACCACCGATTTCGGGTTGGTATCCCAGTTACTGACGTCAAGCCGTGGAAAGGCCACGGATCGGACTGGTCCTGTTTTCTGCCAACGTATTGCCCGAAATAGCTCTTGTGGAGCATGGAATACGTCAGGGACTACTTGTTATTAGGGTTCGTCTATAATTCACGACGAAGTTTTCTCACCACTTTTCCGCACCACCACGATAGTTTTTCGCTAGCACAGATTCGCCGGGTATAAATATGTTACACCACCGTGATGTTGGTTGAACTGAACTTCCATATTTACGTTTCTACCGGCTGGCGAATGTGATGTTGGACGGATGACGTCAACGGGTAAGCGGATCTTCTGGTTCATAAGTACCTCCGCCGGAGACTTGCCATGTGTAGCGTTAATACGTCGTGTCGCCATGTAACTCAGCAGAAATGTCTCGATGATTTCCGGTGTGGTCCCCTCCCCTTTGAGTTTCAGGTGTGCGTGTTTTAAAGTGTCCACAAATCTTTCCACTTGGCCATTTGATTGTGGGTGGAACGGTGGTGGTCACACGTGCTGTATGATATTTCCTTGACAGGAATCTGAAAACAGCGGACGTGAATGCACTGCCATCGTCAGAAACAATGATATTTGGAACTCCAGTGGCTAAACACATGTAGTTATGAATTTATAGCACAAAAAGTAACATAGTTCATGTAAAACACTTCTGGCCATTTGCTATAAGCATCCATTAGGATGAGATATTGTCGGCCGTTGGTTGGTACTGCAAAATCAACATGAAGTCGTGACCATGGAGTTTCTGGAACATAATTCTGTTTTCCGAGGGGGTTTTGCAGACAGTTGGCATTTTGAGCACTTGCGTACAAATTCTTCCAACTGCTTATCAATGCTGGGCCAGTAGACAACTACGTGTTAGCGCCTTCATGCGGTTAATTGCTTTTTCGTTCCCGTCTGGGAGAACATGAGAAATGACAACTCCAATATCCTGGTTGGATGCGTCTGAAACGGCAATAATGTCCATGGTTAGATTGTAATGTAGGATCAGCAGATCAGGGCTGAGAATTGACTTTATTTTGTCGAAAGCGGACTGACACTGATGTGACCAGTTCCAAGGCACATCCTTTTTTAAAGATGATTTAGTGGTCAATGGACGCGATGCATGTCTGGCAAAAATGAACCGTAATGGCTTATTAAACCGCCTGGAAAGCAATCGAGTGCGAATATCTTATTCCTGCGGAAACTGTAGCAGCAACAAAAATTAGACACTTGAACTGATCCTCTGTAAGTGACTTCAATTGAAATTTTCCACACTCACGGTTGTCGACACCGGCAGAGTGATATACTCGTAGGTATCGCGCCTGGCCAATTCAAAACAGCTTTATCGAGCATTAGAAAGTGAATGTTGCTCACCATAAATTTCACGAAGTTGTTCCACTGTTTGTGCAGAGTTCAGATCCTTTGGATGTTTGGGAAGAATGAAGTTCGTGAACCGATCGTGCTCGAGGTTTCCAAGTTTTCGGACCAAGAGGCGGGGTTCCCACGCATCATCTTTGTCGGTAAGCTCATTATGAAAAGTATCTTCCCAGCGACCGTACCATGAATCGAATGTTAGGCCAGATGCAGGTTCACAGAGAAATTCGGTAACAGTTGCTGCGATAGAATCGGCAAAGGATAATGAAGTGAGACTTTGAAATGGAACTGATGTCTGAAGACTGATAACTTGAGTAAGAGACCGAACAGGTAATTGCGGTCGTTCAAATTGCGCTTCTTGTTATTGAGGATCGCCTTCAAATCCTCAGCTGAAACTGACATGTTTGTGTTTGCGTTGGGTTCCCGTCGCCGTTATTATATCCCCTTTGATGATGTATCAGCCAGACAAGTTAGTTCACCTGAATGGAGAAGACAAACAACTTCGAGGAAGTTGTACTGCAAACAAGCGGATCGTTCCGTGTTATAGAATTCAACTGAACTAGAATATAAAAGAGCTAACATAGAATGTGTTAGGGTTGGATCACGCAGCGACCAAACAATATGATATGCGGATTGTGGCAATATTCTATCCCCAGCTATGTTGCTTGATCCAGGCAGTGCTCGCTGAAACCTTGTACTCCCTTGAAATTGATGTATGCTGTGTCTCCGAAAGACTCATACAAGACCCGAGCGTGGTTATGTATCTCAGAACGCCAACGATGAACCCAGCTCATTCACATTTCTCCCTCCATGTGTCCGGTGACCCAGAAGGGATGACTCGTGGAATATATGGCGTGGGAGTCGCACTCAGCTCCAGAGCTGAATGCGCTTTGCTGGATTGGATCCCAGTGAACAGTCGTCGCTGCGTCGTCCAGTTATCCAGTTCAATCAAGCTCAGTACCTGTCGGCATAAAAAGCGGTGCCTGTTTGTCTTGTCGGCTTATGCCCCAACTGACTGCATTTCTGATGCGGAGAACGATACCTTCTATCGAGAGCTATCCGGCCTCATTCGCCAGGCAAAAAAAAACACACTGACATTGTGATCCTTACAGGCGATTTGAATGCTCAAGCAGT